CACAAATTTGCTCTGTCTACCAGGTGGCTTATGGCTGACTTTAAAGAAGACTTTTTAAGGATATCTTTGAGAAATGGCCTTCTTTCATAAAGGTCAGTTTGCGCAGTATATGACTAATTGTTGACCTATGGACAGAGTCTTCCACCTAAGCTTTAGATCTCTGTAGGTCATCCAGTGTTCATGGGACCTCTGGCTGCACGTCTGATCAGTCTTCTCCTTGTTTGAGCTGAAAAGTTTGAGGGACCGCCAGGTCTTTGTAGATTCACAGAGGTCTGATACTCGTTCCATTTCAATATTATCACTAGCACTGTGCTCCTTGGGAAAAGCTTGGGAAAATCTTTTTGTATCCAAATCTGTGGTTAAACTTCTCCACAACAGTATCGCCATCCTGCTTGGTGTATTCCTTGTTCTTCATGATGCAACAAACCTCTAATATTATCACAGAGAAGGTGCATTTATACTGAGGCTTGATTACACACAGGTGGATTCAATTCATCATTATTATTACTTAGTGATTGTGTCCAACTTATGTTTGATTCTTCACAAAGGCAGAACTAAATCTTTTGGTCAAAGCCTAAAATGTGGCAAAAGATTGAAAGAAACTTTCGCAAGACACTGTAATGCAAAGTTTATTTTAAGACAGTAGAAATCTGCTTGAGTGTCTTTTTTATATATTAGCCTTTAGTTTTCATCTTTCCAATCCATCCAATTTGTTTGGATTTATGCTAAATGCCAATACCAAGAAGGCTCTGCTGGTAAGATGCTAAATGCTAAAGCCTATTAAAAAGAACCTAACTGCAAATCCTGAAATGCTTTTAAGGGTACTGACATTAATTCTGGCTGTTTCCCCTTGTCTTCACCCTTTATAGAGCAAGTTACTCTTTTCGATCCCTTGCATACCCCTCACAAATGGAGTCCCCCCCGTCCCTCAGTGAGGTCTAGAAGCAAAAGATCTACATCAAGCCATTCAGCAAAGATACTGCTGCATGGCTGTACATCTTATTTTGGCATTTGACCAATTAGATAAACCCTTGAATAATTTATATTACCTACTGTAAATTAAGTTGAAAAAAAGCTAAGTCAAGAAAAAAAGGTAAAAAGCTAATTGAAAAATTATAAAGTAAAGTTCAAAAGTTAATAAGCCTAGTTAACAATTATATTTAGGTTTATAAACTAAAAAATCTAAGTGCCAGTATCAGAATTAATGCCTCTAAGGTAATGCTGTAGCACAAAAAATGTGTTTCTTTCACTCTCAGGATGTTTTTCGTGAATTTCTTATAGAAGCACTGTTGTTATTTGTCTGAATATGTTCGGGCAACTTGGTGTTTCTTGTTATTACATTATTTTTGCTATCAAAATATCCATATTTTTTTATGCTACAAATGTAACAAGGTCTTGTCCTGGATTACAATAACACTATTGGCTTGAAATTTTGATTTTCAAAGGATTTCACTGAGTACCCTATAAAGGGTTTTAATAGACATGTGTATTTGAGTACTTCAAGTGTGTTTATCAATCATGGCCCCAGTTAGCTAATGTGCAACAGACACTAATATGATTTTTTTTGTGCTTGTAATAGGTTAATAATGTATAATATACCAGATAGTTATATATTTTAAGCAAATACTTTCATTTGTGAGGTTGGTGATAGCTTTTTGTTTGAAATATTGTACTGAGGAATCTGTTCATTGGATCCTTGAGTCCAACTAGTTCAGTTTCATCATTAAAAACAGTTGTGATCTCTTTGATATTTTCAATCTATAGTAGTGTGACTTGGCTAAAACCTCCTTATATTGTTGCCATATGTATAAGTTTTTCTCCGTAGGTTTTGTCCTACTTTAACATTTTTTTGGCTGTTGTAGTGCTACCCCAGCTGAGAACGTTTTATTCTTATTCATGCCGCCAATTCAAGCTGTTGTTTGGATTTTTACTACACATGGCATTACAAGAATTACAAGAAAACTGTCAATATTGTGATGTCTTGGTATTCTGCTCAATCATTTATAGGTTAGGAGAGACCTGGGATAGATTGATATTTAAGCTCCTGCAGGTGCATGCATATATGCATGTGCATGGCAGATTTATTGTAAAGTTTCCAGCTGTAGGTTGAAGTGTGCCCATCACTTTAGGGGTCAAAGCTTCAGCCATAAAATGATGACAGAAGCTCAGAACAAAGATGGTGGTCCTCTCTTCTTGTTACCACAAACCAGGACTCGTCCAGATGGTGTCTAAGAGGTTTAATGTGTGCGTGTGTGTGTAGGGGAAAATTCATTTAGCTTGCACTTGTATGGATCATATAGCTAAAGTCACTGAAACCACATTGGTTTATTTTCGCCTTTCCTCTTGTTTTTTTTATAGAATAGAAATGTTCTCTTCGTGTGCGTGGATAGAAATGTTTTCCTGTTCATGCAAGAAGTGTTCTCAATTACAGCCTTAGTCAGAAGTGGAAACAGATGGTAGCAGATGACAGTAGACAAAGTAGCTCTGTCCTACCTACCCCTTCTCCTCTCTCTACCTCCTTCTCCAGGTTTCTCACAGTGCCTCTCACTCATTCAGACATTTTTGCCTTTCAAGCTTCAAACCACGTGCTCCCCATCTAGAAAAACATGCTCAGTCTGAGCACATGTGGAGCATGGACAAAGACTCCTTCAGTCATCTTGACACAGATCATCACTCATATTCATCCAGACATGAAAACAGAACATGCGGCCTCAGTGTTGGTTTACTCTAAACCACAGTTCAATGAGCTTTGGCCAAGTTTTCCCTGCAGCAGTGTCTGAATTACATTGTCTTTGTGTATTGAGCAATGATAAACAAGATTACAGTCGAGTGGTGCTGTTGTCAAGCAAGTCATGTGCATCTGAATGCAAATCTAGAATGCTTTAGCTTCATTGACTTGCTCTTTAATTAGAGATTTATGTTTTACTAAGATATTTCCACTTCGGCACATATGTTTCTCTGCAACGCTTCTGTTTGTATTCTGTTTCTACATCTCCTCATCCCTTACGCATTTAACTGAATCTTCCAAACCAAGTTTAGTCATATTTTCCATTCTTATTTTCAGTTTTTACATCCTACTTTTTTCTTTCTTGTCGCTCTTCTTTAAATTCCAATTTACAGCTCGATAAATTAAAATATCATTAAGGTGTTTTAACCTGTGCAGTGATTTATTGCACACAGTGTTATTTTGAGTGTTATTTTCTTCTTTAAATTGTTATGACCATAGCCTGCAGCCATGCATTAAAAAATGTTTTGCATGCAAACAATACAGTACCAAGTCCTGCTGGACTCTAAAATCATAAGTCATTAAACTTGCAAAAATATCTTTGCTTAAGGCTGTCTTGACTTTGAACCAGAATGACAAGTTTTCATCACAAGGCTGTGGTTATCCCTGTTGTTTTTTTGCCATATAGTATGTACCGCCACCCTCCCTTTCACTCAACTTTCCACTATGACGCTTACATATATCCATCTGTGAATTGCCAGATTTTTAAGGAGCTGCTTGTCACCAGCACATGATAAAAACGAACAAAATCATTGCTGATTTGTGGAGACATCTGGGATTCTAGTCCTCTTCACTCTACCTCCAGGCTCAGGGAGCTTCCTCTTCACATGAAATGCAAAAAAATTGCACAAATCAGAAATAGTCTTTTTCTTTTTCTCCTTTGCTAAGAAAGACATTTCCTACATTTTAGACGGTATAGGAGTAGGTTATCTTACGGCAAGCAACAGTCATAACCCATATCCTGGAAATGTCTGTGTGGTTACCCCTAAAGCACTGTCACCCCCTGCAGTTCATATCTTTTGAATCCCCACCCAACCTCTTAAATTTACTAGCTTTATAGTCCTCCCAAGGTTGTGATCATCCCTTTTGCATGTGCATTTTTGTTTACATTTTCCTTACACCTAACTTCCTATTGCTATGCATTATTTGAAGAAACTGCATCTTCAGCGCCAGCTTTTTTAGACTCTTTACTCTTTGTTGAAGATATCTTTGACTATCTGCTCTATAACTGTCAAGTGAGCACTAAAAACATCCACATAAAATAACACGTTGAAAATATATTGTCTCTGTAACGTGCCTTGAGATGACAAGTATTGTGAATTGGCGCTATATAAATAAATTGAATTGAATATTTGTTTTAATTGGTCTTATGTTATCAAGTTTGCTAAGAAATGTTGTATGTTGGGTTTTAATTACATTTAATTGAAATGAACATGACTTCGTCACTTGATGAGTAGTTTATCTACTATACAAAAAATTGGTTTCACTTGTTGAAAATAATTACTAGTGGTAAGTTGGGTTTGTTGTTACAGTAATTAAATAAGCTGCTTCGGATGTTATCAGGCAATTAAATGGCCACTACTATTTATCAGTTATATGCTTATCAGTCCCATATTTTGTGCCTCTTATCTCCCAGTAGGCTCAGTAGTTTTTTTACTGTATCACCCAATAAATCCTAACTCTAAAGCTTTGTTGTTGAATTAATTAATCTATTTATGTGTAATCTGAACATAATTTTAGTAATTCTTCATCTATTGTTAAAAAAAGGATCTGAGTATTGCTCATATTAAACAAACAGAAAAGAAAACAACTCATATCCCTTCAACTGAGTTGTTTTTAAACACCACCTTATACCCGTATGACAGAAACATGTGGAAATCAGTTGAATTAAAGCTTTAAAATGCAGCTTTAAAAAAGAATCTGTAATAGACAAAATGCATAAAGTAGGTAAATTGTTAATAAAACAATTTCAGACCCTACTGAAGTATCTGTTATCAATAATGAGCTGCATATTATCAGCCATAAGAAACCTACTAGAAGGTAGAGGAGGCACAGCCATGAAGCCATTTTATGGGATTGATAATGGCTAATAACGGCCATTTAATGGATGATCACATCCAAAACGGGACTCTAGATACACCTATCCCTGTAAAGGTCATCTGTGAGATGTAATTGGAACAATAAGAGAATATATCTCTCTATTTATCATTTTCAGTGGGAGGAGATAAGTGTGATGGATGAGAGGAACACTCCGATGAGGACCTACCAGGTGTGCCACGTAATGGAGGCCAATCAAAACAACTGGCTGCGGACGCGGCACATCAGCCGGGAGGGAGCGCAGCGAGTCTACATTGAGATCAAGTTCACCCTAAGAGACTGTAACAGCCTGCCTGGGGTCTCTGGTACCTGCAAAGAGGTCCGTATCATTCTGCAGCCTGACAATAACAAGGACACCAAGACAGCCTGATATACAAGAAATGAGTCTTGATCTTTCCCTTTTCTTACTTTTGTACTCTGTTGGTGTGATGAACTCTGGCCAGCTTCTTGGCTACCCTTTTGTAACTATTTGTTCTTAAGTGAACAATGCAAAAATAAAGGTTTAAATATCACTGCCAGATCAAAAGCAGAGTTAAAGACTACATGATTAGTGTTATTTGGCTTGTTTTTGACATTTCAAATGTGGGAGAGCATTTTATATTTACAAAGGACGTGTCATTTCTAAAACATTTAGAAATTAGAACAAATTAATCTCTAAACCCATGCAACACAAACTTCAGAGACAGAATATAAATTTTTATGTTGTGAACTAAATTGAGCCTCTCAACAGTAAACAAATATTTAATTCATTATACAGGCTCATTTCTACATCATTTTGCCTATTTACCTTCATGTAGGCAGCACATTAACATATTTATTCATGTCAGACTCGTGGAGAGTTGACTTGAATTGTTTGTAATTTAATTATCACTTGAATGAAATTAGTTTTTCTCTTCAGCGTACTTCAACATCACGCTGCAGAGCAGGAAAAGAGCATTCTTTTATTGTGTCAGCCTTTTATGTTAAAAAAAAAATGAAACAAACACATACAAGGTGATGGGAGTGATGTGCACTTTGAATAGATGAGTAATTGATAAAAGATGATGAAACAGCAAAGCAAATTACAAAGAAAAAAAAAACAAAACAAAAAAAGGCATTCCTGAAAACCGTCATGTATTTGAATGCTTCTTTCCTTTTGTCACTATAAAATTAAGGTGAGAGTTGTGATTAAGAACCTCAGAGGGCCGGGAGGTTATGTTCACTATTATTTTAACACATCAACGGACTTTTAGGAAGTCTGTCTAAAGCGTACAAGTCTGTACCAACCTGTTATTTATATGACCTAAATAACGACATGACATTTTTTTTTTTTTTTGCAGACTTTTAACATGTACTACTACGAGTCCAACAATGCCAACCTGTGGTTCATCAAGGAAAGCCAGTATGTTAAGATTGATACTATTGCTGCAGATGAAAGTTTTACACAGGTAAGCACACACACTGACTGACAACTGTAAGGAATTAATATGCATGAATGTAGAAGCTGTGGCATTATAGACGGCGCTGGGAAGACACAGATAAGAACATTTGGTATGTGATCCTTATCCAAAATAAATACTGTCTTTTGATCAATATTGCACCATGATAAATTGACCAAAGTGCTAAAATAATAATTAAATACCACAATCCTGCACTGTACCACTGCAATTGCCATACAACCAAAAAAATACCACATGACCAACCCCCTCCCCTCCTCCTCTTTAAACACAAATTGCTAGGAAATATTAATATTAAACACTGCTTCATTATACTGGCCCAATTTTGCTTCTTGTAATCACATGTCTGTGTTTAAAAAACGATCATTATTGTTCAATATTAATTACTTAATGCTGATATATAGCAAATCCTAAGCAGACAGACTGTATACTAACTTTTAACATAAAAAATGTGGTCATGTATTTACATATTTTTGAAAAAATTAGGCAATATCTCATGTAAAGGTGCATATTAAACCTTTTCATCTTTTAAAATATATTAAGGTAAATGTTTAGCCTTACGTTATTCTGTTTCAGTTGGCTGTAAAAAAAAAAAAAGAAAGAACCAATGCTTGTAGGACTTAAAATACATTTATTAGCCATTTTTCTTGGCAAATGAACTTTGTATAATTTTCCCAATTTAATGGAAATGTGCCGCCATACTTTTTGACGATTTGCATTCACCAATAGTGTTGACTAGTTTATACTAGGTTATACTCTTCTTTTAAAAGCTAGAGAAACTACACAGGCTTAAATAATTAAACAGCCTAAAAAAATCAATTAATTAAAAATAAGAGTTGCTTGTTGCTTTACAAAATCTACAAATTGACTGTCCTCAGATTATAGGACAGAGAAGTATGCCAACATAAAGCCTTGCTAAAATAAACAGCATCATATATCATTTCTCCTTAACAAAACAAAATGTAAGGTTATAATAAGTAATAGTATGCAGAAACAAGGAAAAGTACAACATCATTTTTTCCTATATAACCCAATCGAAATATATAAAAGCTGCATCCAAATTGACATTTGTGACAGAAAGCTCTTATTTTCAGTTATTTGTTAGGCTTTATATTTTTTTGTTGTTGTTGTGTCTGATTATGAGCCATTTATTTAAGACTAGACACAACATTTGCTTTAATGTAGATGAGAGGGCATTCATTGTTACATATGATTGTTTCTTGACCTTTGCTTGCTTTATATTTTATGGAGTTTTAGTGATGCAATAATCTTGTATGCATTTTAGAGAAACCATTTCGGTTTATGCTGCTCATCCACAGGTGGACGTTGGTGACCGAGTTCTGAAGCTGAACACAGAAGTGAGAGACATCAGTAACCTGAGTAAAAAGGGTTTCTACCTTGCCTTCCAAGACCTTGGAGCATGTATCGCCCTGGTCTCAGTCAGAGTCTTCTACAAGAAGTGTCCTCTGACAGTGCTCAACTTGGCCCAGTTCCCTGACACAATAACAGGAGGAGACACAGCTCTGGTGGAGGTCCATGGGGTTTGTGTGAATGCCTCGGAGGAGTTTGAGCCGCCCAAGATGTACTGCAGTGCGGACGGAGGCTGGCTAGTCCCCATTGGGAGATGTGTTTGCAAACCAGGGTTTGAGGAGAACAAGGACATCTGCCAACGTGAGTAGGGTGGGGCTGCTGAGAACTGAGCGGGTAGGAAAGAGAAGTGTGCAAATGTGTGAATTTCAGTAAAAAAAAAAAAAGATGAAAATATAATTACTGATAGTTTTGTATTGCAGCTAAGATTATACACTCATAGCTTTTATAAACGTAGGTTTGTCATTTACTGTACTCTGTCTGATGTGGTGGTATGAGCAATGGTCAATTATTGAAAAGTTTTTAACTTGTTTTTGCTTATTAATTCTTCTCACAGGGTTTAATACACATATATAGAATCATAGTTTATAAGTTTTCTTGTGATCTAATCTTACTGATATCTTACTGATATTAGCAGCTAAGGTGGGCTTTCATTGTGTTTTAGAAATCTATTAGAGTAAAAAAAATCTATCTATCTATCTATCTATCTATCTATCTATCTATCTATCTATCTATCTATCTATCTATCTATCTATCTATCTATCTATCTATCTATCTATCTATCTATCATCTATCTATCTATCTATCTATCTATCTATCTATCTATCTATCTATCTATCTATCTATCTATCTATCTATCTATCTATTCTAACTAGTTACTGTAGGCATCTCGTAGCCATTATAAAATACATTTTTTCAAACGATTTTTTCAACAATAACCTTTTTATCTGTAGGCCTTCTTTCACTTGATTTTAAAGACCTAACTGAAATTTGGAAAATCTAGATAATTTTTTTGTCAGTACAATCATCCACACTAAACAGTATTTTGATTTCTGTGATTGTAGAGCCTCTACTAATGTAATTGAGCCTCTGAACTGCCAATCAAGCTGAAAAATAGCAGGGCACACTAATATACTGAGAAGGAAGCGATGATACTTTGTGTGTCATCACACCAAACAATGCTTAGACAGCAAACAGAGAGGAGAGGTGCGGTTTGCTTTAAAGCATTTCAAAGCATTAAAGCATGTTTGTGGAAAAGAGAAGTGTGCATACTGTGAATGTTTTGTGTATGTGTGTTTGTCTGGATATGAATGAAGAACGGCTTACAGGTTTGTGTCATGGAGAAAAAGGTATGCCTTGTGGAGATGGATTATTGAGATGTAAAGCTCCCCCGCTTATTGCGTGGGGTATATGCGTTATGCAGTATGCGGTTTGTGCATGCAAGCGTACTGTGCATGCGTGCATTTGGAATTTAAGGAAACCGTATTATGCTCATGCTGTCACCTGTCCCTAAGGACTCACTTCCCTGGGAAAATTGGAGCACAGATATTCATCTCTGCAAACTAAAAATGGGTGAGCACGATGCAATTTCACTTGTTTTGGAGAAGCAGCCGCCAAGACACTCAGAAAAAGTTGGCAGTTGGTCCTTAGAGACAAGTGAATTAGAACAAAATGTGCTTTGCAGTTTGCAGACTGGTAATGCGCACAGATCGTGGCAGAATGCTGGCTGCATCTCAATCATGAGACAGACTGCTTAGCTGTCTGCCTGTCTGTCTGCCTGCTGTAGTTATATCACAGGTGATCCTACTGACAGGTTTTAAATGATTTCACCCGCTGTGCCAGTTTATCTCCCTTTCTAAATTGTCAGACTGGGGTGAAGCTTTATGGTCAACCATTTATCTGAAATGGTTGACCCTGATGAATTCATCAGCTGGATCCTTTAGGCTCATCACTAATGAGAATAAAGACAGGATTTAACAAGGTAGTTTTAACTTAATAGCAGATGAATAGCTCACGTTTGGCTTTTTGCTTGAAATATTAAAGATTCAATTATATATAATAGGACTTATTGGCATTTAGGTAGGGGGTTAGGCAATACATGTGGCCCCTGTAATCTGAGTTAATAGGCAGACTGACATGTTGGTTTGGAAGAAACGTGATGAGATTTGCAGGGAGACCTGTTAATAGAGTTTTTTTTGTAGAAAAAAAAAGATACACCATGTGCTAAGCAGACCTCGATGCTCCATATCATGGAAATGTACCTTCACAGTGTTGAAAAGGAGGCTTTGACTGGTTGTAACACCTCATCTACCAGAGACAGTTTGGCTTTTGATTTTTATTTTGATGAAGCTACTGACGGGGTGATGGCTGTTTGCATTTTGGATTTGTACTGTAGAACGTTAATGTTGTATTCCCTAATAAGGACATTTCTAAGGAGTTCTGCAACAGCATGTGGTACCTAGACAGTTTTTTGAGGTGGACCTGAAGAAGGATGACGTAGAGCCCCTGTGGCTCCTTATTGAAAGGTGTAATTAGTCCTTTTTTAAATGCCCCCTTGACATTCTCCATTAGTGAATTTTTAGGTCTGTGGCAGAACAGAACCAGGCCTGGCCTCCAGAATGAACTTTCAAGATGTGTCTTTGGAAAGAGATGTTTGTATATCTTCTTTCTTTTAACCTCATGATGTGATCTTGGTTTAGTAAAAAACATTGTGTGGTAAAGGTTGTAGGGTGGGTAGATGGATGGAAGTTCAAAGTAGTCAATATTGAGTCATTCACAGGCCCAGACATACTCAGACCCCATCACTCTCACTCCATTTTTAAACCATAAATCTCTTGCCCTGATACTCAACCTAACCCTTAACTTTGACACCTAGCTCTAGCATCTTAAGCCCTTCTCATACAGCTCTATAACCTATACGTTGCTATATGTTTAGTCCTGAAATGAAGGACAACTTTAAAAGGTTTCCTTTCTGGCATCCACTAACCTAAAAGAACATTGTGTATTGGACATATTGGACTGTGGCTCCTCAGCATAGTTGTAAGTCTTAGATAGGTGAGGAGATATTTCAGCTTTAAATAACTTAAATGTTTTGATTCTATCATTCTGGGAAAGATTTGGAACAGTGTTACAGTCTCACAATGATGCAATGGTTTGCTATCCTTCTTACAATATGCCAGCGAAGAAAGTAACATCTCACTGCCACATTAGAAACACAATTTGTATTGTTCTGAATCGCAATAGTGCTTGTACTTTTCTTCTAAAAATGTGTTGATATTTCTATTTTTTGGGGTTTTCTCCTTTTCCTGTCAAAACTCCCGAAGCCAGCTAAATGTAGCTGCATCCATAATCAGTTTTCTTTTTTACAAGCAGATTCATAAAAGACATAAGAGGGTGCAGAGCAGTAAGGCAGCCTGGTTAGTTGCACTTTAATGTGTCCCTGTGAGAAGGAAGCCTGTGCTTTTAAAGAGCTCCTCTCAATGCTAGGCATCGGCTCTGAACAAAAGGTTCCTGCCCTGACACAATCTAGGGGTCTACCACGGGACGACATGCGCCACTAATGCATTCAAATGATTCTCTCTAGTTTGCTTTCACACAAAGGGAAGAGTTTGTGAGTGAAAAACAAAGAAAGACCTGGACTTGCATATTTATAATCAACATGGAGGTGAACAAGCCACCTAATGGAGGGACAAGTTTTCTCTTGTTCTTTTGCTAGGGCCTGGTTTCTTTCTTTTTTGCCCTTTCGTTGCTCTGATACTCAACTTTGTCTTGAAATGTTTTTTGTGAATCTTGATCTCTCAGCATCCATCTCATTTACACCCCATCCCCTCCACTCCCTCCATCTCTCCCTCTGTTTCCCTGTCTTGGTCTGAAGCGCTAATGGAGTCATTACTGGCCTCTGTGTGTTAGATAAACACCAGACACCTCCTATTACAGCTTTTTTCCCCCCAAATCTCCTGCTCTTTCCCCTTTCTCTCTGTTGTTTTCTGGCTATGCTCAGATGTCTGCTTCTATAATTAGACTGTTCTCCACTTCTTGCTCTCTACAAGCCACCCATTTCACTTCTCACCCATCTTCTCTGGCATTGTCTTCCTTTTTCACCTCGCCATTCTTCTTTTCTCTGTTCTCCTTCAAGCACGTCTTATCTTCGTTGCCTTCTCTCGTTAAACATTTATGGATCATGGGTTCATCTTTTTCCTTTTGTCTTTTCCAATGTGATGTTTCATAATCTCTTTAGGGGAAGCATATATAACTGTGTGTGTTGATTGGATGAATGGCTGCATGGACAAAGATTAAATCCCATAAACTGGTACCATTTTTTCCTTATAAAATCAACTGACAGTTAAACAGGCAAAAGCAGGGTTTATTAAAACCTGATGAACGGATTCATGTCATGTAATTTACAAAGGTACTTTTGATAGATTTAATTAGTAATCTCCCATTTTCCGGTTGCTTTTCCAAGGCTTTTGGCGTTAGAGAATCCGGAAAATGTTAGGAGAGGACAAGGCCGCTGGAAATAAGCAGCCAGCTGGCAGGCTCAGAACAGTGGTTGACATTTGCTGAGCTGCTGTAAGTATTCACAGAAGGCCGATTTGTAAAGACTAAATTAACAAAAAATTACAATATAATCTTTGTTGGAAAAAAAAACAAAAAAACCCAGAAAAGTCATAGTTTTTTAATGTGTAGTTCTGAAGGCACGCTGTTCAGGCATTATAGTCTCAGTGTTCCATTGAAATCATGCTGCTCTGCTTTGTTTGCTGCCTCAGGAGCTTAGTAATTTATTTCTTCCTCTCACTCTAAATCAAAGACATCCCTTTCTTCTTTACATTCACACACACTTGTCACTTCTCCTCCATCTCTCTCCGCCCTGTGCTGGTGAAGCCCTCCGCCTTTTCCCCTCTCTGACTTTCTTTTCTCTCCATGTGTGTCACTTGTGCATTCTGTTCCCGTTTGCCCTCTCTGTGTCTGTCTGCCGCTGTTTCCTCCAGCACCTCCGTTTCCACTTGGTACTCCCATGCCCTCTCCTGCTGTCTGCATCTCTTACAGCTGGTAGAGAATGTAGTGAATACTTCTCTAGAACCTCTCTTTCTTTACGCCTCCAGGGGTTCGCGCTGAAAAGCTGGATTGTTTGTGTGTCTTTAAGCATCTTTAACCACGTGTATATTTGTGTGTTTTGTGTGCCTGATAGCTTCAATTACTTCCTCACATACCAAGGAGGTGGAGTAGAGCTTTTTTAAAGGATGGACACTCATCACTTTAACACTATTTTCCTTCTTTCATTTCCTCTTCCTTCTTCCAAGCAG